TACCAGGATCCCAAGGACAAGCTTGCTGTCTAGGTAGCAAAGCCATTTTGCCAACTGTGCTTCATTTTTCCAAGGACGGGTCTGGTTGAGGTAGCTACTCATTTGGTCACCCCCTCGAAGAGCTTGTGATCAGACCGGTTGCTTCTGAAACTTAAGTGTACGCTGGTGATTCTTGAAAGAAGTGCGTGAAAACCAGTTAGAGGTGGCACATGACCACCAACAGCCTGGAAGTCAAAGGGTTCTACAGAGGAAACACTCCAGCATGCCTTGTCCACTGCAGTGCTTGGAAAACATTTTGCCTTTTCCCCAAATAGCTGTTCATTAAAAGGGAATGTGCATTGATTGCGCTTCTGAACCACCATAAGGTAATGAACTGTCAAAGTACAACCTCCATTAGGCCCTACCTGAGAAACATTCGGATTTTACCATTTTCTCTCACCTTTCATGAAAGTTATACTTGAACGATTCAGGAAAGAAAACCAGAATATGCATACTCTACAAGAGTGAACCAGGGACTACGGAATCTTAAAGGGCCTCTGTTAATTTTAAATCATTGGGCTTGAAAGAGCTATAATCTGACAAATGCATTCATCCAGTATTGTATTATTGGGGAGCTTTTGTCTCTCGGGTTTTTTTTTTGCATGCATGGCACTTTATCAAACGAAGTCCTCTAAAAAAAAGAGAGAAAAAGACACTGTTCTTAAGAACAAGTCCCATACAACTCCCCAAACACAAATACCCTATCATGGCAGATATCTTTAGTGTTAGTGTAGACATGGATAAGGAAATGAGAACATAGTGATGGATGCACAACAAACTGTTATCCACACTGTCTTAAACATTACTGTCCAGAAATACGCAAGTAGACAGAGGTTCACTTCTTGATCAGTGTTCTCTAACTCTCTGCCCGAGTCGTTTAAATCCCACGGAGGTGGTAAAGCTTGAAAGACGCAGGCAGTCGCATCTTTCTCCTGTGGAGCGGCAGGCCAGCATGGAACCCAAGACACCGCCAGCCCGAGTGTTCCAGCTCCACTTCCCCATGGCTTCCCATTCCCATCCCACTAACCTCCCCAGACTGTAAGAGGCATAATCTTTCTCCAGTTTTTCCTTCTTTTGATGTACTTTGAGTAAAGCACTTGACTTTCACTGTAGAGTTACTTGTGGATACAGAATTATCTTCCAGAGCATCACAGGCTCGGTGATAGCAGAAAGGGATCTATTTTATTTGCCATAATGTCCACTGCAGGCACTGTCCACAGCAAGGCCCATGCCTGGCTCCTATCCAGGTGCTTATTTGGGAACTTTGCTCTGAATGGGCATCGACGTGGTGGCAGTAAGGGCGAGATGGTGTGTTTCTGGGGCTTGGTATCAATTTAGTCCTAATCAACTATCTTTGGCTATTTGAACTAAAAATGTTAATCCTATAATCCTGAGTGGGATAACCTAAGATTGTAATGGGGCATTCCAATAATATTCCAATTTAAAGTAGAATAAAACAAGTCATCAAATCCAGTCATCAAATTTTTGAGTATCAGGAAAACTTTACCATATTAACGCTTTGGAAATTGTTTCACGTTTGCAGAGAGCAAGCACAGTCCATTTAAATTCCAAAACCAACCCAACTGTTCATATAAAGTGTCTTATTTGCACAAAGCTTCTACTTTGCTCAATGAATGTGGGATTCTTTGAAGGGGTTCACAGAACTGAATGTTACTCCAAACAGATTGAAAATTACACAAATGAACTAATAACGGAAAAAAGGAAAAGAAGAATCTTTAAGAAGAGCAGAGCATTTTCACATCCACTCTTGTGAAGTATAACTAGGTTTATCAAAACTAAAGTTAGCACAAAAGGCATTGGACAGTGAATGATGGTCATGGTGTGCCCTCCACTCCCTGATCACTACCCTCCACCTCCGAATCCCCCTGGGAGTGTGTTTCCAGGATGGTAGGAGCCACTGCTTCAGTCTGGATGTAGACTCAGCGTAGCACAGTACAACAGAACAAATCCGCCACCTTTTTGTTGAGTCAGACACATAGCAACCTTATAGGGCATAGAACTCTCCCCATAAATTTCCAGTGCTGTCAGTCTTTACAGAGGTGAACTACCTCCTTTTTCTCCACTGTTGGTAGTTTTGAACAGCTAACCTTTCAGTTGGCAAACGCTTTAACCACTGTGCTACTAGGGCTCAAATCAGAGCCTAATACATATCCATAAATCTGTGGCCCACCATGACATTCTTCTGTGCATTTCTAGGAATCAAAATTCTGGAAAGGCTGATTTTATTCAGGTCTATCCTATAGCAACAAGATACATATATTGACTATTTAGACCTCTTTTGGGGAATGTTCGAGGGAAGGACGACAAAAAGAAATAGAGAAATATAGGCTATTCTCTATAAGGAATGAAGTTCTAAAAGTGCTTCAACTAACAATACATTATAGTTTTAATGTTTATTCTATTTTTCTTATTGTACACAGTTGTAACATGAGGCATAAGAACAAAACCACTGCTTTCCACTCTCCTTTTTAACCAATGAAAGGTATATGTATGCATGTATGTATATATACATATATATGCCTATTGTTCTATAAGTACATTATAGGGACCCAGCATAATAAAATTTAAATGTAATTATCATTAAACTAGGTGTATTTTTTTATATCTAGGCAACCCTTTGAGGCATCAATTTTATGTTCCCACTACAATTTATTTTTGATCCTTTTACAAAGGGTGGGAATCTTACAATGTGTTTAATAAACTTGAACTAAACTGCGGACACTGTCTTTCCATGCGGTTATGAATATATGTTGGATAATCTACTGCTGAATTGATACTCTTAATAATTTGCAAGAATTAAGAGATGCTTCTTAGTCGATAGGTGGGGGGGGGGGTGTGATTTCACCTCAGAGAGATTTGTAGTTTCACAAACCTCCTTTACTAAGGATTTTCTCATTGGCTGCTCAACTATTAAAGAGCTACTATTCATACAAGCCTGATGAAAAACTGCAAAGGCAAGCAAGAGGAGAAACGTGAGAGGATGGCACTGCAACATCACAAAATTAAAGTACGAAATTCACCTAATAAAAAGGAAGTATACCACTTCAACATCAACTCAACGTTGGAAAACATTGACAAGAATCATCTTTGTCACTCTTGACTATGTTGTAAAAAAGTTGTAAATTCGGGACCCTTACTTTCAGAGTGAGTGGTTTTCACGAAAGAACAGAACCACAAAGAGAAACAAAGCCGGCCAGGCATCAGATTCAATCAAATTAAAAGTCATCCAGGTTATTGGATAAAATTTATCGTTACTGTATCAAAACAGTTTAATTCTATAACCATAGAATCCTCATTTTAAAGACCAGCAACAAATTATTTTTTCTTACCCCACAGATCTCTTAAAAGAATTGGAACATATTTGAAACATACGGTAGGCATGGCTCATGATTTGTCTTCATGGGTCAATAAACATATCATGGGTCATGGGTCAATAAACTACTTCCTTAAAGAGCTGCAGACTTGAAAATGTGTAAGGAGGGCATTTCTAACCTGTCCTATAGGGTCACTATGCGCTGGTAATGGCTGCATGGCACTGATTTTGTTTTGTTTCCTTCCATCTGTTTTTCCTTTAGCTGAAGTAAATGTGTGAGGTAAACTCCCATTTGGGTAAAATGATGAAGATTGTTAACATCAAAGTTATGAACAGATGTCAGCATCGGAGTGCCCAAATTTCACCACTAGCAAATAAGAAACCATGTGTTATTTTAACAATTACTCATTGAGGCGTATTTGAAAGCTGACTAATCAAAAGGTGTGTGTGTGTGTGTGTGTGTGTGTGTGTGTGTGTGTGTGTGTGTGCTTATGCGCATGCAGGTACATCCTATTTCAATTAACTTCTTTAGTTCTTGGAACTCTTTCTTTAGATAAAACTGCTTTCAACTAAAGCCCTGAATGTACCTCTTTCAGCTCAAAGAAGCAAGGTTGTTTATTAGGCTAAGCACTGAAGCCCCCAAACGTGTACAAAGACCTACTCACCACACTGTTCTTTCCCTTCAACTTTGTTTATTGATGTACTGAACATGAAAAAGTACAAAGAATCCAAACACAAAAGAAACATGTACAGCCTCTTAAATACTCAACAGAATATATTTTCTATTCCAACAGATGTGAATTAAGTCATACTGTACAACTTCAAATAAATACCAGCCTTACATTTTAGGAAGTGCTCTGATAAACACTGTAAAGTGAAGCACAATTTGCATGCCCTCTCATCAATGCCTCGGTTTGCTACAATAGGATAGGAAAGAAGCATGTAGCTGCTGTTTTCCTGAGAGGAAAACCTTATTTTTTTTTGTTTTGTTTTTTCTGTGTTTTTTTTATAAGTATATACATGTATTTTATTTTTAATTTTTTTTTCCTTTTCATTTTTTGAAACGCAGGTTAACTCTGACAATCTAAATGCACCTAAGGATATGAGAAAGTGCTAAGCCAATTGATTTCTGAGTAGCATTGAGTGGGTCAGCATGAAAACTCGCTTATTCACTTTAGCACACGCCTCACAGTATATGTACTGTACTATACTGAAAATTTTTATAACTACAATTTTAAATAAAAAATAAAACTCAAAGCAACCGCAAAGAGAATGTACAACTATGTTATGCATAGCACATTGCCTGTTCTAAGGGGAAGCATGTGAGCGTCTCAGTTTATACAAAAAGCAGGACGTTAACTATATAGTTCTCAGTGCATCCTGAGGAAGGCTGCCTTGCCTTCAGCTTTTTTGAAAATTTATTATAAGCTAGATGCTAATCAGAAAATATTTTGTATTTTTTTAAAATTTCTTTCATACATGGTAAAGACTTATTTTATTATTTCCCCAAATAGTGGTTTAAGCATCATACAAAGTTAAATTTCAGTAGCATACAGATATTTATGATTTTTGTATGAAAAATGTAAGGAAATTTGTTCAAAACCTATGGTTATACTCATTTTTTTTACCACAAACATATTTATAAACGAAAATGTAGCATCACCATAAACAGCTGAAGCTAGACTATCTACAGACAAAATTAGCAACAAATCTGATGCACTGTAAATTCAAGTCCTCAGGACAACAAAAGTGATTAAGCAAGACCTCATCAAGTAACAATGTTAATGCCATTTACAAAGGAAAAAAACCGATACAAAACATTCAAAACCTGAACATCACTTGGCATGTAAGGGGAAAAATAAATCAAATTAGCTGAAAGGTTCATAAACACAAGGTCTTATTTACATTACACAAAGCTCAGGTGTTAGCCTTGAACGTAACTTTCAAAATACCATCAAATATATCCAACTCAGATCACTTTTGCCGATTTGCTGCAGTACAAATCATGTGCAACGTCTTTTTTTTTCCTTAAGACAAAACAATTCTTCAAACAATACTGCAAGTACATCACTAAACACCATGAGCTCTATCTGAAGGGATTTCTTTAGGAAGAACAGATTTTTTTCCCCCATCTCTTGGTAATTTAAATTTTCTTGCTTGCTCTTATATATTCTTTTGTAAATTTTTTTATTTGTTTCAAAATCACAAATCAAGGTGAGCCACCTATCACAGAATAACCAGGATGATCAGACGCTCCACTGGTGATTACAAAAATGAAACCAGCAGTGTTTCTCCCACTGATTCTACTCCTTTCATACAAAGATCTCAAAAGTATTCTCTACATCATAAATCTTTCTAAATTTCCCAACCGCTGCAAATTTCCTGGTAAATTTTAAAAGCTCACTAGGTGTCATATGAAGAGATTTCTCAAAGTATTCAAGTCAAAATATTTGTTCCAGGACCAGTAAAAAGTTTCTCCAAATTTTCTTTTTTATAAAAATAGATGCTTTTTTTAAACCCACATCAAAGAGGCTCTTATCTCTTTGGCAAGGTACTGCTTTACGAAAAGTTCTCCAGTATTCTTACAATAAGCGTTTATAATGTAGCCCCCCCCTTCCCCAACCCAAATCATAATTATAAAATAAATACTGTTTTTAACTTTATAAATAAAAATGTAAACTTCAAAATACTTTTCTTAAACAGACACAACAGCAATGCTTTAAATGTAAACCAAACACAAAGCTAATCAGAGAAAGAAAGGATAAAAGGGGGGGAAAGACAACCAACTAAAGAACTACAACACAAAGCCTCAGTAATATTTACTCACAGGTTCAAGGCAGTTATGTTTAAAATTAAAAAAAGGAAGAAGAAAAAAAGAAGAAATGTCTTCCCTTTGCTGAAACACTTTAAAAGGTCCACCTTCTTCAAAGAAGGCAATAGAATGCAGTGTGACAGGTAAAAACCCTGTACCTCTTGTCCATATTCAAACATAAAAGATATTTAAGAAGTTTTAATTCAAATACTAGCAATAAAAAATCTCACATATTTCTTAGGATGCTAAGTAGTCATTTATCCCCATCTCAACACTGACTTACAAAGACATTTACTAATGTATAAAGTTTCTCTTAACTTGCCTTTGTTGTATAGTTTTCATATATAAATGGACTGAGGACAAGAGCTCATTAGGCTTTGTGCGTTTTGTTTGTCTTAAAGGAGACCTGCAGTACTCTGTCTCCCAGACGGTATCCATTGAGGCTAGCTATCGCCATGGCAGCCTCATCATAGTTTGTCATAGTCACAAATCCAAAACCTTTGCATTTATTGGTGTTAAAATCACGGATGACCTTCACGTTGGTGACAGCTCCAAAGGGCCCAAACATTTGCCACAGGATACTCTCATCTGCGTCAGGAGCCAGGTTGTACACAAAAATACACCACCCTGTTCCTGGGTGCCCAGGGATATTAATTCCAGCCAAACTGGTCATTCCATCAATGGTCATTGGAGAAAACCTACTAAACAAAATAGGAAACACACACACACAAACAAAATAAAAACAGAGGTTGGTTATAGCCACGGACTGCTTTCTCCTCCCTTTTCTATCCCATGAGTTTCAGCAATCCCCTTTCCCCAACAAATATAATACAACTATTTGATGTTTAACCGAGTTGTGTGTGTGGCTTGCAGGAACATGCTATACTATCAAGATATTAATAACTTATGAAATGCCAACATGTGCTCTATTGAATATTAACCATAACAGCAAAAAAATATATTTAGAACTGGCTTCATGATTTAAGCAGGACTGGGGGAGAAGGAAACCAACACATACGTAAACATGCTGTAACGTCGCAATGCAACATGAAACAAAGAATGGGTTTTTAAAAGACCAGGTGGCATCCAGTGGTATAAAAACGTTCCCTGAGTCAACTGTGCTTCAAGAAGCAGCTTTTCTTTAGGTTGTACATGCAAAAGAAAACCCAACACAAACTTATGAGGGGTGTTATGTATCACTCCCAAAAAATCAAAACAACTAATCAATTGTGGGAAGGGATTATGAGTATCATGAACCTCTATCATTACCTCTTTACTCCATAAGCCATATTGAGCAGATTGTCCAACCTGCAAAACACACATTTAGCAAACTTCAGTTTTTAAAATTTCCCCGATGTTCAAGAAAGTTGGGCTTGTTACTGCCATCTTCCGAGGGGATAGTTGTACATTAAGTAAAAGTGAGGTCTCAAAGTAGAGTGGGTTTTTTCATATTCATGAGAAAATGGGACCCCACTGTCTTGAGATGCTAACACTTTCAAGTGATATGGTTATATGGTTTATCTCTACATAGGCCGGTTTCCTCTGAAGGGTTAATGCTGGGGGCCTCTCTGAGGAAATGAGGAAGCTTCCTTCCCCCTCAATGCTCTGAGAGAGTTCACAATTAGGTTCTCCCATGTGTCATGTAAGTTCTAAGTGCTGTACATGTAGAGCTGTGTTTTATATCATTGCCTTTAATTTTTAAAACTACTGATTTCTGAGGGTCCTATGGCACACAGAGGTCACACAGTGGCTTTTGCCCAAGGTCACCATGGCTAGGGATTGATCGGTCAAGATTCAAAATCTGTCATCTTCAAAATTCCAAAATTTCCCTTTAACCTCTCAACTTTGGAAGACTTTCAAGCTCTCCGAAGCAAAGATAAGTAATTACATGTGCAAAGAACTTTACAGATGATATCTCCTAGGCCTCCCATTTCTCAACTGTACTCCGATAAAGCCCAGAACAGGAAAGATGACACTCTGTCCCAGTAAGCAACAGAGCTGGGGATTCAGATTTGATCCCAACACTGCCCTGCACCATGCCTCAGGAAGCATCTAACTGAGCTGTCAGAGCCAAGCAGAAGCAATTAGGCCAACTTGAGTGTGAAATCCTTAACATTTTTAACTTAAGGTGGTTGGCACTTCTCCCATTTCAAAAATGATGTTTTCCAATACTTAATTCTTGCTTTATCGGTGTCAAAGAGACCACCCCGATGTTCCATATTTCCACAATGCTTACCCATTAATCACACCTATCTAGAAGAGGAGGTGGATATATTTAATACACAGCTCATGTAACCACCTTCAATGGCCACTCCAGGAATCAGTAAGGCACAACTTTTTCTTTTAATGACCTTGGAAGATCCATTTGAAAAAAAGTCTGAACCTTACTGTCTGACCTCTGTAACAAAGTCAGGGGGAGCAGACCATAAAAACCCAATTCCCTTCAGCTTTATTTAAGTCAAAAGCATAACAACAGAAAAACAATACATTTTTTGGACTTTTGGAACTGAAAAGAAAGTTGTCTTCCCACAACCCTGCCCTCAATCTCCACAGGGCATTTTGAACCAGAGAGGTTGACACAGTAGAAAACATAAGGAAACTGAACAAATCACAATGACCAAGGGTGCACATTTGTCAGCATGGGCCTGGGCCTGACACCCTCTTAAAGAGTAGGGACATGTTTCATCCCTCACTCTACCAACACCAAATCTAGAGGGTGGGCCTGATCACAGGAACTATATAACAAAGATCTGTTGGCTAAATAAATGGAATTAAAGTTGCCAAAAGGCAACCAGCAAATAATCCTCATCTACAATGAAATCTGCCAGGAGGAGGGTGGGTTAGAATTTCTGCGCGAGGGGCTTTGTCTTCTGCAGAGGTCCCGGCATGGTCACAGACACCATGCCTTCAAACTCAAAGAGTGTAGATCCCAAGAACAGATGTGTTTGGATCTCTACTTCTGGGATGACCACCCTCAGAGTATTACCTGATTTGGGAAAAATTCCAAAAATGACTGGAATGACCAATACAGAATGCACTTAACCTGGGCTACCTATTTAACAGGGCAGCATTTCGAGTCTCTTTCCAAGCGTGAAGGCCCAGAATGAAACAGGACCTTAATAGTTCACTTAAAATTGAGCTGGCACCACCTACACCTGTTATTTGGGCTCGGAAAAAGACTGTCTGTCATGCTTTACCACAGTAAGCAACAGATTTAGAACAGCAATCAAAAGTCCAGAGGCAGAATCTGTGGAACAAGTGTTACATTTTTTTTCCAGGCAGAGTAGGAACAAAACTTGCCTGAGAGTCTTCCTCTTTCCCCAACCCTCCGCCAGAGTCCCCAGACAGACAGGAGGCTTTTACTGGTACAGCAGGACTTCTGGGGACTTTATGGGGACGTCATTCATGTGTGCCTTACTCATGCAGTCCTAAGTCATATCACGTTCCCCAATGATTCTTCACTCATCTTCCACTTAAAAGAGAAAATTGTGGCCTTTGGAATTTATTCCAAGTCCTCTATCCTTTCTCTGGCCCCTGCTCCATCCCCTGAGGGAAGCCTACCTCAGAGGCTGTTCCTTCTAATAGTTTCCCATATTCTCAGGGTCATACATCCATGCTTTCCAGGAGCAGAGAAAGAAGTGGGCACTCAACATGGGCACATCTACATGTCTAGAAGTTGGTCACCTGCCAAGTAGACAGCTACAAGAGAAAGTGGCGCAGTGACTCACACACCAACCCCACGGTTAGACGCTTCACTACTTGTGTATCTCAGCTGGGTCTACCCACAGTTCAAGGACTGCCAACTTTTACCTAAGGCCCTTTGAAAATAGAAATCTATATTAAAACAGGGAGCAAGCTACAGCCTCCAGTGACCAGAGGGTGTCTGTGGATGGTGATATTCTCACCAAAACCAAACGCACTGCCATGGAGTCAATTGATTAACAGTGGCTCTACAGGACAGGACAGAACTGCCCCGAGTTTGAGGCTGCAACTTTATGGGGATAGAAAGTATTATCTTTCTCCTAATGGTAATGTAGTAGGGTCTGGATACTGAGTTTTAAACCACCCATAAAAATAAGCTTTAATATTTAAAAAGGATCCCCGGTGGTGCGCTGGTTAATCAACAGACGGCTAGCCTAAAGGTTGCCAGTTGGACCCCATCAGCAACATGGAGGAGCGAGGTCGCCGTTGGCATCCAGAGAAGATGACAGCCTTAGAAACCCGAAGGGGCACTTCTGCCCTTTAAAGTCAAGGTAAGTCAGAATCAAATGAACAGCTTTTCTTCTTCCCCCAAAACCTTTACAAAGATGCCTTATCCCTGATAACATATGTACCACCCAGTACCCTGACTCAGTCCTGAGGGAACACAGGATTCTTCCCAGCGGAGGTAGATGGTGGCTCCCTTTGCCTGGACACACTTTATAATCACAGATTAAGTGGACATAAAGGATTTGTTTGAAAAAACTAGTTCTTATTTTCTGTTTTTAAATTATGGTTAATATGTACAAGAGGGTTTTAAAACACCTGTGGAAAATATAATGAAAATAAGATGGAATTTTTCCACGAACTTTTTGAAGCTCCCATAAATGTAGGTAACATGAATGGATAACTTAACTTCAATGAAAGGAACTCTCACTTGAAGATCAAGTAGCTTAAAATGATTCCTAAGGAAGGGAGGAAAAGCTGAAGTGAAGACCAGCAGGAGAAGCTCTGTCCCTTTTTTTTTTTTTCATTTCTCCTACTCCTAGCACAAGCTACATTATGAGGTTAAAGATTAGATACTGTCTGATGTGTCGTTAGACAAAAATCTCAATATTATAACTTTATGAACCTTGCTTTAAAGGTATGGTTTTTATTATGATAGTATGGATATGAAATAGACAGCCAGCAACTATGGAAATGAGAGGGACATTTGATATACTATTTAGTTTTGTCTTATCTCTATCATGTATGCTTCATTATAGTTCGTGAATGAAAGCATGTAATGAAATTGCAATCTGGTTGTAATTTATACACACACATACATGTTGGTGTTAGGTGTTGTAGAGTCTATTCTAATAGCAATGTCATAAACAAAGAAAAATAACTTCCCCAATCCTCTACTGTCCTCACAATCCTTGCTATGTCTGAGCTCAATGTTGCAGACACTGTAGTCAATCCAGCTAGTTGAGGGTCCTCCTCATTTTTACCAAGTACAATGCCCTTTCTCAGGGACTGGTCTCTCCTGATAATAAGTCCAAGTCCCGATGACAAAGTCTTTCCATCCTCCACTCTAAGGAGTACTCCAAATATTTCTTCCAAGACACATTTGTTGTTCTGGATGTCCACGGCAAATTCAGTATTATTTGCAGCTCCATTATTCAGAGGCATCTATTCTTCTTCTGGTCTTCCTTATTCGCTGGCCAGTTTTTTGTACACCGAAGTTGCTGCTGCTGTTAGGTATCATTGAGTCAGTCCCAACTCATACAGTAACAAAACACGCTCCAGACCTGAGCTACTCTCACAGTTGTTATGTGTGAGGCCAGCGCTTTGTGGTCACTGTGTCATTCCATCTCCTGTCAGTCTGTCTCTGTTTTGCTTTGTTTTTAACGGACCTTCTACTATACCAAGCACTATGTCTTTTCCAAGAGATTGATCTTCCCTGATAACATATTCAAAAGTCTGTGAGACAAAGTCTTGCTATCTTTGGTTCTAAAGGAGCATTCTGGCTGTACTACTTCCAAGACAGACTTGTTTGTTATTCTGGTGAGTCATGCATGGTACTTTCAATCTTCTTCAGCAGCATCACAATCCAAATGCATCTATTATTTGATCTTCCTTATTCATTGACCAACTCACATGAATATGTTATCTGAGGTAATTCAAAATACCATGGGGCTTGGGTCAGGCATACCTAATGCTCAAGGAAATATCTTTGCTTTTTAAAAAAAAATATCTTTGCTTTTTAACATGTTAGAATTCTTTTGCACAAGATTTGCCCAATGCAATAATGTCATTTGATTTCTTCACTGGTGCTTCCAAAGGCATTGATTGTGGACCAACTAAAGTGGAATCCTTGAAAATTTCAATCATCTCCACTTATCACAATGCTGCTTATTGATCTGGTAGTGAAGATTTTTTCATTTTAATGTGTATTCCATTTACTGAAAGCTGTAGTCTTTGATCTTGGTCAGTAAATGCTTTCACCAAGTAAGGTTGGATCATTTGTATGTCACAGGTTGTTAACAAGTCTTCCTCCAATATTGATGTCGCATTTGTCTTCTTATAGTTCAGTGTCTCAGGTTATTTGCTGAGTATGCATAACTCTC